AAGCGAGAGTCCGAAACGTCAGTCCCAATATAACTCGGTGCATGTCCTTGAATCTTCTTCTTCGTTGCACGGTATTTATAGTTCATAGTGGTCGTCTGCGTGCGTACACTTTAGTTTTTAGGCCACCACCGTCTTAGCGGCGAACGAAGACATCCAGGAAGGCCAACTGGTTGTTTTCTTCGTCCTCCATCGTAAATTGAATGTTCGGGAAGATGGCGTTTAGACTTTCTTTGAATGCCAGCATCTGATCCCGCTCAATTACGCCGAAGGTGTCGTCCGCATATCGAGCGGAGAATTTCGGTTTGTGATGTTGGAAAACCAGCGTCTCCAACCGCTGCTGTGAGAAGGAAAGACGCCAACTCCCAGGTTGCAGCTCACTCGGCGGGACCCGACCATATTTTCAAGTTTGACGAGGCCAAAATCCTCGCAAGAGGTGACAACTGCGTAAGCCGCGAGCTGCTCAAGTCATGGTTCTCTTGTCCCCAGTTCACCAACAAGCGCAATGATTTGGCGTTCCCATATTGCGTACTGAGACATTGCCTGAGCAAGAGAATCAGTCACGTGGGAACGACAGCGAGCATAATGGTTGTGCAATTACCAAGCCCGCATTCAACGCGGCAATTAATATGTCGAACGCGAAGTGTCAAGCCAGTACCGCACCAATTAAGACCCAAGCGGTGGCTGCAGAAATGGATAATTATCGTACACACGCAGATGGCCACTATGAACTATAAATACCGTGCAACCTGTGCATGTTTTAACCCTATCTGTGCACGACTATGAATCTGATACTATTACCTATGATTAAGGAGTCCCGACGGAATCTGAAACGTCAGGAAAATAAAACTCTTGTTTCAGTGGTTGCATCTCCTTCTACTGATCAGTAGATTGATTGCTCTTGGAGTTGTGTAGATCCACACAAAGTTCAATGTGACTAAATGACGTAACTATTTTATGAAATGAAAGTTTAACTACAGTATGTTCTGAAAGGAGTGTCGTAAGTAGGTGTGACAGTTCCACCATAGTTTCCGACGACCTGCGCCCTATGTTCCACAGTATAGCGATGCAGGGAAGGTGACTTACGCGTGGATTACTTTTAAGTGATAGTAGACTTGCGTTATATCTACTGCATTCTCTGTTTCCTCCTCCATCCAAGCTCGGTGCCAAGACAGGGTCAAGAAGACCAGAAGTGGGATCGGGCGCAGGCTGCGGGAGCCGACACGCCTAACTCAGATCCCATGGAGTGGGAGCGCCAAAAATACCACGGGTGGCTTATGTTTGAGCCTGCACCTAAGCATGCCACCAACGCTCACCGCCCCATTTTTGACATTCGTTATGAGAGCGCAACCCAAATAACGCCTGCCGTTCCATGATCCGGCTCTCATGTTGATCAAGCACATCTGCTTTACGGTCCTAAAGCAAATATAAAGTATTGACATGTTCTGTGCCACAGGGTGTCTCGCCTGCAAAATATGTATTTAGAAATTTTAAACAAGGGAAATATTTATGAATAATTTGCATCCTTTGCTATCAGACTGCATCCATCTTGAAATGATTCAGCGAAAAGTACATTATCGGTATTTTCACTATGAAGCCCATGAAAGACGGCTGGGTGGAGGGTGATAAAATACTTTGATAACGCATTAAAGATAAATAAACGCTATAGTGACTAATTGTTTAGAGGCAGGGGCGGCAGACAGTAAATATACCCTCCCGTTCATAAAATTATTGCTTCGTG